CTCAAGGCTTTTCTGTGGTGTGATACTGGTTGAGGTTATGCGTTTTTTTTGGTGAGGATTAAAGAAATGCTTTGATCCAAGAGCTTTTAAGCATTTGTTTAACTTCAAAAAGACACTTAAAGCTAAGCACATAGGAAAGAGTTTATGGGTTCAGGGTTCTGGGATGGAAGAATCTGTTGGTTTCCTGATGATTTTTCTAACTAAACTGTTAAATTCTCCTTTTCTTCCCCATTTATATTTCTCTTCATAATTGGGTTGTGTTGGTTACTGGAACCCTTGTTTTGCTTGTGTGCCCTAAGACTGAACTCCAATGACTCTTACAGACACCTGTGATCAATCCAATTGTATTTGGTCATTAATAACCACGTTAAAGCAGAAGATGCCAGAAGCAGATAAATTATTTGTATTAATCCTAGCTTTACAGCAAAACAGTGTGGAATTCAAAATGGCAGATGCTCCTGAAAGCAAGCTCCAACTTTAACCAAAGCTGGCCATTGTTGCTCTCTGGCACAGAGGGAAGTGTTATTTCCAGTTTCCTTATTCACAGGTTTCCTTTCATTGTGTTGCCCCTTCCCATTTGTGGGAGAAGAGCCATGAAGAACCGTTCTTCATCTCCCCCCTTGCACGTCCATGTGGATGAGAACACCCCTGTCCATGTCCATATTAAAAAGGGTCAGAAAACCACACCTGCAAAATGCCAGGTAGGAGTGTGCAGCTGGGTGTTTGTGAGGGCTACAAAGAGGAAGGTGAACGGTCCTAGAAGCACCACAGAGTCTTCAAGGTCTGTTTTACTGTTGTATTAGAACTGTGAGACTTGAATTGATATTCAGTGGTGAATTTTCTGTAACGTGTCATTTGTGTTTCAGACTATTTAAGTGTGATACAGAATATATAGTTGCTTTTCACATTTGAGTGTCATAGTGAGGAGCATTGCTTCCAGTGGGATTCAATTCCGTGTGATTCAATTCCAGTTTGGGAATTGAAAAAGGAAAATCTGTTTCCTTTTATTATTTCCTGAATTTGTGTCCTGATAATGTTTTTTTTTTTTTTCCTTTGGCTTCATCCCTGTTTTTGAAGGAAGGGTTTGGGGAAGGGTTTTAAATTTCTAGACATTTCAAATTCTATCTTGATTGTATTAAAATAAGTGTGTTTAGAAAAAAAAAAAATCTGGATTCAAAACATCTTCTGGCATTAAGCACCTTCTCAGTTTGCTGAGCTGTGCAGCAAAGAGGATCTCTTCATAGCCTTATGAAGAAGGAGGGAAGTAGGCAGGAGATACTGAAGTTGAGTTTCTAGCAACCTCATGTCCTCTTTTGTAGTTGGATGTTTACAGAAAATTGTTCTCAGAAGGTGATGGAAGTTGCTAGCTCATTCTTCCTTATCTGCAGACATCCTGTTCCAAGTCCTCTATTAATTTTGTGTTTGTTGCTAATGGCAAATGTCATAGTGAGGTAGGGCCTGACAGTGAATTTAATTGCTTCCATTAATTAATTGCCTGTAAGGAATATTTAGAATATCTGATCTTTCTCGAGGGTTAGAATTGTGCAAAACCATTTGAGCTTTCCTCCAGCTACAGCACCTCAAGTTCAGTACAAATCAGTGTGGATCTATTAGTAGGTTGCAAGTCAGAGAAAACACTTCAGGGGCTTTGCATAACAAATCACACTGCACTGTTCTTTTTTTCTGTGGTAGTCCTGTTGTCAAAAGATACAGCTGCTCTTTTGTGAGGTGAGATGAATGTGGAATGAAGAAGCCATCTCCCAGGTTGTTCCTTCTTCATGTGAATGGGTTGTGTTGCAGTATTTTTTTGTCTCTCTGTACAGAGGAGGCCTCCTTCCCCCTCACCCCAATCTCCCAGACCTGGGTAAGGCTCTCATTGCATCACGAGTGCAGGGCTCCCTCCTTTGATAGCTGCTGGTTCATCTCATCTGTCGTCTGAAACGCTGAGATATTTTTATATGGATGAGCTTTTGTTTGGTTTTGCAGCACTAGAAATTTTAAATGGGTCTTTTAAAAGTCTGTGATTTATTTTTTATTTTCTCTTTCTTTAGCAAAAGCACAAACAGAAGGTGAAAGGGGATACCACGACTGTGGGCCGAGCTGTCCAGGTGAAAGCTAAGGCTCCCTGGATGCCCCCAGGCAAAGCCTGTATTCGGAGATCCACCAGCAAATGGGAGGTAGGGCTGATCTTGCTCTTTAAAACAAACTTTCATGCTTATCTGAGGTTGAAATGAGCAGTTGTGCAGGGAGGGAGCTGGGCTGATCTGAAAGAAGGCTACTGTGACCTAACATCCATTTTAAGGGTCTTCTATAAATCATTATAATATAGAAAATTGGAAATTAATGAGCAGCCTCTGGCCATATTATGCTTTTCTGCCTCCAGAAGCCAGACTAATTTCTTTGTTTGTTATAGTTTTACTAGACCCCTTCAAGATCCAGTCTAGAGACAGTCTCTCCTGAAACGTGGAGCACTTGTGTAGTGTTTTGTAATATTTTCTTTCCCATGGGTTCATAGTTTTGACTTTTGTATTCCTGACTCTTCCTGGATGAGGATTTGAACTTCCATTATTTTTTTTTCTTCTTTTTCTGTTCTAGTCTTTCTGCATTCTTGACCTTTCCTTGATGGAAACAAAACAGCTGTTTAGAATTTTTTTTTGTTTTAAACCTTCCTAGCCTTATTGCAGTGGTGTGACCTGGTCTCTGTTTTGACAGAGTTAGGATTAGAATACTGTTTATAACTTGACACTAAAAAAAAATGATGCTCTGTATTACTTTTCTACCAGGGACCAAATTCCCATTTAGAAATGACACCTCCAGATACAGAGAAAATGTTGTCAGTGCTGCGCCTGAGCGACCTCTCTACTGATGAGGAGGATGCTGTCTGCTGCAAGATGAATGAGTATGAAAAGAAGATAGATAGCCTGATGAGTACAGTGGGAACACTGAAGAATGAGGTGAGGAGACAGTATAAAGACCTGCTGGCCTGGGCTTTGTAGCTGTTCAAGAGGGGACTGGAGGCTGGCATCAAGTCTTGTTGCAGTAGAAGACTACCCAGGCCTGTGGTTAGCTTGCTGAAAAAAGATATATTTCTGAGTTGTTGAGAAGAGCTGAACTATCCTAGGGAGAAATTCACTAAGCTCTTCTATGACACATTTGAAAATTTTACCCATTTAATATCATCTTGCTGTGCTTCACTTTCCAAATAGTCTGTCTTCTGCCCAAGTGCCTGATCTGAAAACTTGTCCTTCCAGAAGGTGAATAATAGAGTGTGATGATGTCTTATTGTCAAAGAATTGACTTAGTCAACAAGATTATTTCTTCTGATTCTGTTTCAAAACATCCAACCCAGTGATGCTGAGTTTACCAGATAAACAGCCTCTTATGTACTGGACACCATTTAAGAGAAGGGTTGGAGATGTTTCCAGATTTCATAAGATGCTCTGTCATGGGGGAAAACTGCATTTTTAACTTTGAGTTAACATTGAGTAGCAAATCCTGTATTCTTATGATCCTGCTCAAAACTATATGAAGTTCAAATTGGTGAACAAGAAAAGGATTTGAATCAAGTAGATTCTGGTATTATGTGTTTTCCATTTTTTTTATGCTACAAAATTTAACAGGGTTACTTGCATGACTGTAAAAGAAAAATCTGGTTTGATACTTTTAATGAGTTAATTGAATATAAATGTTTGATGGTGTCACTTAAATAAATCCATGGTGTATGTTCACATTAATTTTGTGAGCTTTAATTCTGTACAAGCCAGGCAATCTCCAGTGACTTTTTTTGCTGTAAAAAGAAACAAGTCTGGTGCAGTAGTTCAGCCTCCCCCAGTGTTCTTTCTTGTTGCACAACTTCCACTGTTTGTAGTGCTCTTAACTGCCAAAGGAGATACACAATGTCATTCATGAGGAGCAGTGGCCAACTTTTGAGCCACACTGAGCTTTCAACTGGTCTGTACATAACTCCAGTCACTCTACCAGTGGTGACACTAAGCTGCCACAGAATGTTCTGAGTAATCCAGAGTGGGTAGATGGAAACAAAATACCAGGAACTGTTGAGGTTGATTTCATGCAGTTCCCTAGATCTCACAAAGCAGCAGTAGAGCAACAGAAGGCACTTTCAGCACGTGAACTCCTACCAGAGCTCCTTTCCTATGTTTGAGGTCTGTCACATGTCTCATGGCTGATGACAATTTTTGTACTTAAAACCAGAACCTTGTTGTAGGGGATGGGAGGTATTTCCAGGCAATAAGTGAATTTCACCCTTCGTGCACAAGAACAGCCTGGTAGTATCTAGGAGGGGGAAAAAAAAAACCCAAACCCCAGACCATGGTCATTTGTTGTTTGGTGCAGCTGAGTGGCTGGTTCCCTGGTCTGAGATGTGGATTCAGTGTATCACTTAAAAATACTTGGCTTGTCTTAAGTTCTGTTTAAATATCTTAATCAGGCCAAGCTGCAGAAAAAGGAGGAACAGCAGCAAATGAGAAAGCGTCTGCTGGAGGAGCAGAAGGAGGAACTGAATGAGGTCACACAGGAGCTGGTAGAAACAGAACATGAGAACACCCTGCTCAGGCGCAACATTGAGCGCATAAAGGAGGAGAAAGATCTGACTGTGTAAGAGAGCTCCAGTTCTCCACTGCTGCTGCAAGTTGTGGTGTTCACAGGGCACCTCCCTCCTTTATTGCTGATGCTATTTGAGGTTGTAGTTTGTTCCCTGGGCTGCAGTGCTGCTGGAGAGCTGATGTTCTTGGATTTTTTGTCACCCTTTGGGAAGGAGACTTCAGATGGCAGTAGCTGCAGAGAAGGGCTCTGGCATGTTTATTGAAATGGCAAAAACAACCCTTGAGAGCAGGTGGTTTGTGTGGGCTATGGGAGGGTCATCCTAGCTCTGCAATTAGTATCTTGAAGGTTAAGAGGTGCTGTTTGAATTGGGATGGTATTGACAGAACAACAAATGAATAAATGTGGAGCTGAAGACTAGAGGAGAATTTTTGTCCTCTGAAAATCTTACCAAGACAGGGGCCCCTGAAAGAACTGAATCGTGGTGGTTTTTTTGTTTTGTTTTTCTATCAGTGACTCTGAAGGAATCCAAACCTGATGGTTTTGCATCTGCTTTGTATCTTAATAATTTGGGAAGTTTGTGTTTCCATGGGGACACTAGTGTTTTAAGAGAGTTAATTTTATTTTTTCTTTAAGAAAGATGACTTGCAAGTTAATACTGTGTGTTCCTTTTTCAGAAAACTTTATGAATACTTCTGAGATTAAGAGCCCTGGCTAAAAACCTTGAGCTGCATATCTTGCTGTGCTTTCCTGTTTCATGTTCAGTCATTTGGAGTCTTATTGCTGGTGTGGCTTATGTGCCCAGGAAAAGCACAGCATTGTGTTTGGGGGTTAATAATGTGTGCAAGCTTTGGTATAAGCCCAGTTTGTCCCCTCTAAATTCCTGTCTTATAGCTGTGGTCCTGGCAAGGTCCTGGTGTCTTCTTACTGGCTTCTGTCAGAACAACTTCCACATTGAAAGAGGGTAAATCTTAAGCAGTGTTTATTTAGAGCTTTTATCCTCTGATTCGAGGGGTTTTATGAGTTTTAACCAAATCAACTATGTATCAATAGTGGCTGGTACAGCTATTAAAGCTTCTTGTTTCTCTGATGGCTGGATTTTCATTACAGGCTACAGAAAAAGTACTTGCAGCGTGAGAAAGAGTTTTTGATGGCCAAGCTGAGTGAGGCAGAAAGGGATGGAGCAGCAGCAGCCAGGCAGATTCATGCCCTGAAAAACACAATTGGGAGACTCAACATTGTAGGTGTTGTCCTTTTCTGTTCTGTGCTTTTGCCGTGTTGGCCTTCTATATGCCTATCTTAAAAATGTAACATTACAGCTGCTGATCCAGGAAAGACATAAGGAAAAGTGCAGGATTTTAACATGCTTAAGGTGTTTGCTAATTTTGTTTTGAAGTAGGGTGTTTACTTGCAGCAGCCACCTTTTGCACAGATCGTGCTGACCGTTGCACTGCTCATGCTTTTATCAGCTTCATACATGAATTCTGTGTGAACAATTCCTTTCTCTTCCCTTCCTTTCTTGTCCCTGTATTTTTCCCTCTAGGAAAAAAACATGAGCAGCTCAGATATTAACATGCTGACAAGACAAAAAGAGCTTCTGCTCCAGAAGTTGAGCACCTTTGAAGAATCCAACAGGACACTGCGAGGGCTTCTCAGAGAGCACCACAGCCGGGAGGTAGCCACATCTGTGTGCTTCAGCTTGGGTGACTGCAGGAAACTAAGTTCTCTCATGGACTGAAATGGAGTTTGAGAACTTCTAACTCCTTTTTTTTTTTTATTCTCCTAACCCTGCTGTTGACCCTGTGTCATAAAGGGTGGATAGGGTTTTCTTTTTTTATCCTTGCCTATATCATAGTCAGACTGACTTTTCTTCTGTGAGGACATTAGTGCATCTAAGTCTTTGACTGCATTAAAAGATAAAAAAAGATTATTCCTGTACAGAACAATTCTGTACTGCTTGTAAGAGTGATACAGAAAAGAAATTGCTATTCCTGTAATTTATACTCCATTTGAGCAAAAGCAGGCTGATGGTAATGGTTCTTTCAGCCACTAGTGAGACTGGATAAAAGGACCGAGTTCTTCTGCATGGCTTTCCCTGAGTAGCAGGAGAGTTCAGAAAGAGCTTAAATTGCCATCATGCTTTTTATTGTAATCTTTGACTGAGAAGTGGAAAAGCTTTCTGAGATGGGTGATGATGTGTGAAATACATAGCAAATTTGATGCTTCTTGGTATCTTCTGAGAATTGTTGCTGCAACTGGGAGAAAATGGTTTATTTGCCCAGTTCCATTTAAAGAAGATATATAAAATGGACGTTTTAGTTAACAGTTTTTCTCCTGTGTTTCTTTTGTAGAAGGATGCTCAGAAGATACTGGAGCAGCAAGGGGCACTGCTGAAAAGGCTGGCTGACTCAGATGCAGAGAAAGTGGTAAGCAAACCACAGTCTCTTTTTTTCTTTTAATGATAAAGAAGAGAGATCTAAAATGACAAGCTGTTCTTTGTCTTCAGCCGCCAAGTCTTACACTAATGCCTTTTAGGCCAATAAAAAAATGTTTTTACTTTTGTAGCAATCAGAGCTCCTCTGGTTAACAACCTACATTTCAAAGTGTAGAGATTTTTGTAGTCCTTGAAATACTGGGGCTTAGAATGGGATGGCACAAGTGAGACTTGCATATCAAAGCACCACCAGGATTTACAGGATTCAGCTCTAAAGGAAAACTGAAGCCTAGTTTTACAATGTGTAAGCACAAATTATTCTGCTTACCTTTTCTTGTACAAAGTAAGAATTGTACTCCATATTTCTTTAAAAAGAAGACTCTGAGGATAGGAGAGAAAAAAATATCTACTGTCAAAATACATGGTCAGGATAGAATTCTTCAGTTTAGAAATCATCTTTTTGTTTCAATGTGTTTATCATGTTATCCTTAGAGATAGAGAAGCACAGAGAGGGCAGGCTTTCTGTATCTGCCTCTGTCACCAAATGAGTGCATGACCTGGTGCCACTTATTGTTCATTTCCTTATCTGTAAAGTGAGGAAAGGGTTCTAACATTGCCAGAAGTTATAAACATTGCTGTGAGACATAGGTAATGCTGTTTTTTGTCTGTGGAGTATTTAGTCCTGTCCAGTCCTTGCTCTTGACTGGGTATCCTATGCCCTGTTACACACATGTATGTGTGTTCCTTTTCCTTGCTGCTTGAGGAGAGTGCAGCCTGTTTTTCCAGAGCTGAGGGTGCTGTTGCTGTGGATACCAGACAGACAGTGCTGTGGATCAGAGGGTCTCCAGAGGGAGGCAGTTAGAGCTCTTTCTCTCCACCTGCCAACCTAAATGTGTTTGTTACTTAACATCTGAATGGTGTTTGTTTTCCCAGCAACTTCAAGTGATGCTTCAGGAGAAAGAAAAAGAAGTGGACAATCTTACCATTCAGATACAGGCAGAAAAGGTAGTTTCCTTTTCCTGTTTTCCTCTCCCTGCTCCACCATCCAGTTCTGTAGAAGCACAGATAATCCAAAATATGGCTTTGTACTTGCAGACAATTACTCTTTAAGGGTTTAGATGACTGGATTACTTATAAAACTAGACACACAGCCACCTATTCTCACACAGCTGGGGATTCCATCTTCTGCTAGTAAGGTACCTGTCACAAAGATGAGTAGGTCATACTACTTTGCTTGGGCTTATCACTGAGTTGCCTTTTTGTTTAAGGTCATATTGGTTCCTGATGTCAAATTCCGCCACCTATTCTCACACAGCTGGGGATTCCATCTTTTGCTAGTAAGACACCTGTCACAAAGATGAGTAGGTTGTGTTACTTTGCTCGGGCTTATCACTTTTTTTGTTTAAGGTCATATTGGTTCCTGATGTCAAATTCCAATCTGTTCCTCTATTTAGTAAGTAAAAGGGGAATGCACTGGAAAAGATCAGAGGAACGATGTTTTGCCTTAGAACAAACCTTTCAGGCCACTCATTCACATCTGATGTAAAATAAATGACTACTTATTTGTTCCCCATTTGGAGTAGACGAGCTGTGAGGGTCCATCTGAGGGAAGTGGAGGTGGCTGGAGATCAATCAGTGAAGAAATCTGAGACTGTTACATATTATAAAGTGCTCCTTCTATTAGCTTGTTGAGGAGAAAGGTGTCTGTCTTGTTGCTTCCTATTAGGACCAGGCAAGGACAGCCTGTGAACTCTCAAAATCCATGGAGGCCGTGAGAGGCCGCTTGCAGGCGCAGCTGCGGAACAAGGAAGCCGAGAACAACCGTCTGACTATCCGGCTGAGGGTGGGTGTCGGGGGCCTGGGCACTGCCTCTTCATTTACCCTCACGAGCTGAATGACTGACAAGGGAAGCAGCACTCACCGACTGTTCTTCTGCCCTGTCTGGTAGCCTGAAATATTGGCTGGTGATGTTCACACCACTAACACACAGCAGACTCTTCAAATGAAGTCAGAGAAGAAAAATCTTTTCACTTCTGATGTGTGAGGCAAAATCATAGCCTTAAAGTTTATGTGCATTAATTAGACTTTTTTTTTCTCTAATTGCTTCATAATTATTTAAAAGATGGCTTTGGTTTAGTCAAGCATCAAGACAGATTGTAAACTATTTAATTTGCTTTCTGGGAAAAATTCTGTGCCGTAGGTTCCTGTGTTTGATGCAGGATCTCACGCATGCTTTCTACTGTATTAATGAGGAGGAGAAAGTTCCCCTGGTTTATCTTGTTCAAAGTCTTAGGTTTTAACATCTGTTGATGTTGTGGTGAACAGATGTTTATTAATGGCTTAGAAGAGCTTTAATTCTGTTGAGCTATGTAGCTGCATAAACAAACAATCTTATGTGTGAGAATCTCTGTTAATAAAGAGAATGCTCTTGGGTAGATCGAAAGACTGGTAGACCAGTATTTACCTTGGTCAGGAGAAGAAATCTATATTCTAGAGAGCAGCTTCTGAAAGAAGAAAGGAAATGTCTTGGAAGGAAAGGAAGACCTGTGGTGTTGAAAAGTCTGCCAGCATTAGGACAGGATAGTGTAGGTGAAACACAATTGCAGGAGCCTCCAGGCTGAAGGTTGAAGGTTTATTCCCAGCTCTCTCCACTGTTTCTAGGGAATTAGTTGCTGCTTTGGGTACAAAGTATAAGGACATCATTCTGTGTGGTGTTTTCCCCACCTGTTGCAGAATCTGGAGCGCAGTGAGGCTCAGCATAAGGCAGAGGTGGAGCACGTGCTGGAGCAGCTGCAGGAGCTGCGGCGGAAGGCAGAGCACGACAAGGAGGCCCTGAGGAAAGCCGTCCGTGCGCAGAAAGAGCGGGCGGAGCGGAGCGAGGAGTGCGCCCAGCAGCTCTCTGGCCAGCTGGCAGAAAAGGTACCTGGTGGCACGGGAGGAGAGACCTCATTTCAGGTCATGCATCTGAATCTTTGGCTTCTGGCAGCAGCCCTGGGGAGAGTCTCTGCTTTCAACTAATGAGATTTATTTCTGTCTTGATGCTTTGGCCCATTTATGCTAAGTTTAGAACAAATCCAGTTTGCTCATTTGTCACATTTGCTGTATGTCCTTAGCTTAGGACGTGCAGTAACTTGGATCATACTAAACTAGCAGATCAATTTTTTTGCCTGGTTCTTTAGAACCATCTGAGGGTTGAGAAAAGCTCAAAAAATAAAGCCTTGTGCTTTGGGCTGAAAATTCTGAATGGAGTTGGTTGTGAATTGAGAAACTAGTCAGAGCAGAGAAGTATAAAGTCTTAGAGGTGTGCTGGAATTTCCTGTTGAAAAATGACTGAAGGATATGAAAAAAGAGTAGGAAAGTCAGGACTAGAAGGAATTAGAGGGGAACGTGGATTTCACACTGCTTGATTGTTTTTTTCTTTATTGTTTTTAGAATTCCAGAGACTGAAGCCACTAGTAGAATCATAGTCATGGTTTTTATTTATCATAGATTATCTGCCTTCGAAGAGGTACCTTCTGCTGCAGTTATGTCTGTTGGCTGCCAGTAGAATTGGAGAACACCTCTCTGAAGGATCAGGAAGAATAAAAATGAATACTTGTCCTCAGTATTTTAAAAGTGAATTCTCTGCACATACCATCCTTGCCCACATCAACATCTCTGCCTATTGTCTGCACCCCCCATGTCTAGTGGTGTTTTTGTCACACTTGCTCTCTTCTCATGTATTTCTTTTGTTTGATAGGACAGTTATGTTGCTGAGGCTCTGTCTACCCTGGAGTCCTGGAGGAGTCGCTACAACAAAGTAGTAAAGGAAAAGAGTGACCTTGAACTGGAAATTGTTACACTGAACAGGTTAAAATACAATGAGTGTGGAGGAAAAAAGTATGAGTGGGGATGAGTTCTAAGTTCAAGGATAATTTAATTGAATAACTACATTAAATTTAATACTTTAATTGGATTGCCTGTAAATATCCAAGCAAACTCAGCACTGCCTAAGGACTAGAGCAGAGTTTAAAGAGAGAGATGTGGCTTCTGCTGCTGACTTGCCACAGCAAAGGCAGGTTTCTTAAGGGTTTGCTAACCCTTAAGACTTTCTGTTCCTTTGCCATTTTCTAAAGCTTTAAAAGAATTAAGGTTATCTTTCTTTTGAGATCTGTTTGAGATGCTTGAATGGAAGGGATTAGAAGAGACAGGCAATATAGTTTGTGCCAGTTTGTTTTGAAGCTAAATACACTTGCTGGTATCACTGCAGTACAGTTGTTGCTTCAGGAAAAAATAGGTATGTGAGGAGAGAAGTACCTCTTTACCCTGTGCCTCTTGGAGGCAATGCACTTGAACTCCAAGGGGACAGCACAAGTTAATTTCCAGCAGGCTGAGAAGATTGAGGTAATAGAACAGTGTAACAGTTAGATGTGCACACATGACTGCAGGAGAAAGATGAAAGGATAAGGCCAAGCCGTGTTTCTGAAGCAATTTTCAAGGGTAGGTAGCCTTGCTCTTTCTTGTCACCTAAGGATTACTTTTCTTCCTGTGTGGCAGACGTGTTGCAGACTTGCTGGAGCAGCAGGCAACCCTGGAGGACAAGGTGCGGGAGGACAGAGAATCTTTGGTGGATAAACTGCATCAACAGACCACAGAGACCACATCTTACAAACTGGAGAACGAGAAGCTGAAGGTCAGTTTTTTTGGGGTTTTCAAGATGAGATGCTAGGGGGTAAAAAATCAAATTGAATTGCACCTATTGCTGCCATGTAGTTTCAAACCATTTTACCATAATGTGCATATGATAGGGGAAGTGTGCTGAGAAGAGGTATAAAGAGAGAAAATAAACATTCTGGGAGGACAGGGTTTCTTTCAGGTTTTTCTAGGAGTATCTCCAATCCAAGTACTGTTTCTTCCAGCTGGGATCTTACCTCTACCTGCTGCTTGGAACAGCTGCAACAGAATAACTGTAGCTCATGCAGAGAGAGTGGTAATCTCCAGAATAAAATAAACGTGTGGCATATTTCTACTGTCCTCTCTCTTACTACTGGTGATCCTGTAGGTGACCTACATAATTTTCTTCTTGGAAAACTAGGCGTTGGTCCAAGTAAAGAGTGGCCCTAATCCAAGTAGCACATCTCGTTCAGGCATATGGAAAGACTGCACATCCATCACAAACCTCTGTGCTCTGCTGGTGTAAAACTGGCAATCCACTCAAGTCTGGAAAGTTTTGCCAGCTTAAACTGGCAAAAATCTTCTCTTCCCAGACTAAACCATGTAAGAGAGCTAGCGTGGCAGTTACTTCCAGGCACTCAATGGAAGATGTTTTCTGTTTTTCAGGCCAGTGTGGTCCCAATGGAGGAAAAGCTGAACCAAGCACAGCTGGAAGTGCAGGAGCTCAAAAGCTCTGTCAGGAACTACGAAGTGTTGATTGAAGGCTACAAGTCACAGGTAGACATCTAATCAAAACCTTTAGCCATGCACAAACGTTTTCTCCCTTCACTGTTATGGCTTCTTCTATATCACTTTAACTCTGTTTGCTCTTGGAGGATGTTGCAGTTTCATACAGTTTCAGTTCTTTTATCTCAGTTAAACTGACTTTTTCTCAAATGGCAGCATCCAAACTGCCATGTGCTGTGTACCACTGTAGAATACTTGCCTTTCTCCCTGTGTGCTGATAACTTGGTTGTTAGGAAGAGTTGTCTCTCACAGGAGAGATCTTGATGAATAGAAAATAAGACTGGTTTCAATTATTTCACTTTTCCCTGCTCCTTTTGAAAAGGTAAAGGAACATAGTAAGATGCTTTCTTCCACCTTTTAGAGTGGGAAGTGCTGTTCTTGGCTGTTTCTTGGGGTTTTTGGATATTGTGGTAGTAGGAAGATAAGGCAAGTCGGGAGAACATCTGGTGGAAAGCTCAAATGATCCAGTGGCAGAAGCAGGAAGTGAACTTCCAATACAGTTCTGGGGTGGTGGTGAAGGTGGCAAGAAACTTGTTGCTGATCCTTGAGCAGTTTTAGTTTCTTCAAAGAGTTGCACATTTATTGAAAACTGTGTATACCACATAAAGTGTGTGGGATTTTTTTGTATACCCAGGTATTGAAGAGCCAAATGGAAGCAGATGATATGGCAGCAAAGCTGGAAGAGTGTGATAAAGAGAAAAGGACACTAAAGGATGAAAAGACCGAGGAGATAGAATTGGTAAGTATTCCTCTAAAGTCTGAGATGTTGTAGGTATTTGTGGATCTTCATGTTCTGAATATAGGGGAAAATGGCTGTGAATAGGAAACAAAAGGCTTATCTGAGTTTGCCTTCCCATTAGTTTTTCTGAGGATTTGTTCATTCTGCAAAATGTATTGAATATTTAGCAACTTTATTACTATATTGCACTCTTCAGAGGTGTTTAAATTGCTTAGTGTGTCCTTTGCTGCAAAAGTAGTGGTCTAGAACAGCTGACTGTCCTAGGTTACACCATTTCTGGTGTGGAGCAGCAGTCCATAAAGAAAAGCAAGCTTGTAGTAAAACTGAAGCCCATGATCCAAAATACGTATTCTCACTCCATCCATAGGAATGCTAGATCCTAAGAGAAAGCCTTTTGGAGTAGGAGAAGACCTTAGGCTTTGAACTCCAATACTGGCCAGATATCCACACAGTGTCATCATGGTTGCAGACAAACAGAGCTTCACTGAAGTTGAGAAACTTTTTAGTCTTGAACTTAGGAACATTTGCAAGTCCTCATGTTCTCTCTTTTGTCTATAGGCACGTAAGCAGTTCCAGAGCCAGCTTGCTGAACTGGAAAAGCTGCCTGAAATCCTAAAGATGAGAGAGACACAACTAGCAGAATGTCAGGACCAGCTTCAGGATTATGAGAAGAAGGTCGTGGAGCATTCTGTCATGATTGCAGATCTTCGTCAGCGGGTAAGGAACTGGTGTAATGTACCTGCAGACCTGCAGCCTCCAGCCTGAAGACCAAGATGGATTTCTAATCACAGGAAGGTTCAAACTTCATTCCTCTTCGTGTCTCTTTTTGAAAAGATTAAATGTGTGCTGCAAAATAAAGCTGTGTGCTATGTCTTTGTGAAAGAACTTTGTGGCATAGCCAGTAGCATTCCTTACTGCTTGAAAGGTTTCTCATCTCTTGGTGCAGAACCTCACTGGGACTTGAATGGCAGCAGTGATGACACTTGCTAATGCCAACACTCACTTCTGGTGCTTCCGTTGTCTGTCAGCTTTCCCTCTGGTGTTTTTCTGCTGACAGTGCTGTCCCAACCTTGTTTTCTCACCCTGATTTCAGGTTGTTTTCCCAGTCCCTGATTTTTGTCCCCAGAAGGACCACGCAGGTACTGCAGGATAATTAGACAGGCATGACTTCTACAACCCTGCCTCAAGACACAGCAAATGATCTTGCAGTCTGACTGCTTTACTCTGGCTTGCAATTACAAACCTCCCTGGTATCTCAGGCTCTAATGCCTTTGTGGGCTGCTTTTAATGTGTGTGCTTTGCTGTGCTTACAGGTGGCTGCTCTGCATGCAAGCATTTAGGGACCTGGCTTTTCCCTTGCAATATGGAAGAATTTTCTCCTATTTTTCCAAAGGAAACTAATTGGAAAACAGCAAAATGGATGTTTAGTGCTTTGCTTCTCTATCCGCTGTTCATTTTCTGGGGCTCTCCAGAAATTATGAATTGAGCATGTTTCCTTTTGGAGAGCTGCATATGTTTTAGGTGGTTGGTTGTGTGTGTATGTAGTGTGACTACTCTGTCGAGTAATTAATTACTGTAATTTTTAGATTGAGCTCCAGGGGAACAAAATGGAGATCACAAGAGAGAGGTATCAGTCTGCCCAGGAGGAGAAAAAGCAGCTCACCTTCAAGGTGGAGGAGCTAGAAAGGTTAGAAATATTAGGCTTCTCTGGCTCTCTTAACCTTTCATATCCATCTTCTTCCCATTGTTTTTTCAGGGTATTGAAACAGCTTCATTCTTGTTCCAGTCCCTCATATGCCTCCAGGATTCTGTGCCTTTGCTTATCCCACGAGGATTTCTTATCAGTAGCTGTCCACTGGAGAGAGAGTTAAATGCTTTCACAAGACCTATTAATACGTGGTTAGAAATGATGATGACTTACACAGGAGATAAGCCATCTCCTTGTGCCATCTAGCCCAACAATTTTGAGATTATTGCATGTTACAGTATTTTTACCCATGTTTCTAAGTTTTTTAGTTTCAGTTCTTTTTAGACAATGTCTGGGAAAATGCAAGTGTGTGGGTACTCTATCTCCTTCAATCTTTGAAATTTTGAGTTGAGAAATTAAGTGGGTTTTGCAGTTCCTGCCTCTCAAGGGGGAATAGGATCTATTCCCAGACTAGTCAGGACCTGACAAAAAGGCAGACTGAAACACACTCCATTTAAAATGAATAGGTTTCCTTCCATTATTGTCTTAACCTAGAAAACTAGAGACAACGAGTGCCCAGAACATAGAATTCCTTCAGGTCATAGCAAAACGCGAGGAGTCGATCCACCAGTGCCAGCTGCGGCTGGAGGAGAAGACCCGTGAGTGTAGCTCCTTGGCACGTCAGCTGGAGATGGCCATTGAAGATGCCAAAAGACAAGTAAGTCCTTTCTGGTTTGTGAATTATCCCAGACTGTAAGAGGCAAGCAGTGAGAATTCTGAAAATACCTCCTCAGCCTATGACCAAATTAATGGAAATCATCACGTTTTGGTGAACTACAAGGAATAAAATGTGCTGGTGCTGTTTGTCAGCTCTTAAACCACTGAAAAGCAGAGTCCTGCGTTCCAGTTTGCAACAGAGGAGAGAACAGCAGAGGGCTGAGCTGCTGCTTGTGCATGAGAACGTGTCCAGTTAAACTTTATAGGGTTTTTGTGGGCAATGGGCTTGGGAAAAGTCATTCTTCCCTAGACAACCATTTGAAAAGTTGCTCTGTTGTTGCACACAGGTGGAACAAACCCGAGAACGAGCAGCATCTAGAGAGAGGGCAGCCCAGTCAAAGCTGCTGGATTTGGAGACTCAGCTGAGTAGGAATAAAACAGAGCTGAACAAATTGCGCCGGAGCAAAGACGATGTGAGTGACTTGCCAGGGGTGCTCCTGTTGTGCTGGTGGTGTCCTGGCAGCATCTGCAGGCCAGAAACTGAGGTCCTGTGGACGTGCTGCAAAGTCATGCAGAGCTGTGTCCAAATGTGACAAGCTGTTGCATGTTTCCATGGCAGTTGTGTGATGTGATATGTCTGTTACATCCCTGATTCAGGAGCGTGGACTCTCATTTGCTTGTCACTTACATCAGTGATATGAATGAACTTGCTCTAATCTTATGTCTGTGTAAGAAAATAATCAGACCTTTCTTACATTTGGATTAGATTTGCACCACGTATCATGGACAGATTTCAACTCTAGTTACCATGCTTGGTTATCTGAGTTTACAGTTTCTCTTCTAGAGGAAAGGATTTCTTCTAGAAGAAAGAAGGGGTCTCCTTCATAATGTCCTGTGTACCCTGCTTGTTCCCTTGAGTTTTACTTGGGATTGGGCTGGCACATGGATCAGGTCAAGCTGATTTAGAGTGTATTTAATTCCCTATAACTATAACTAATCAGCTCTAAAAGCCCAACTGATTAGCCATGTTCTCTTCCATTTTTATTAGTGGGTTGCTGAAAGGGGTTGAAAATGAGCAGAACAAACATCATAGCACCATCTATGGTCATGTCATCTACTCCTGTGCTAATCCTTGCTGTCCTCAGCACTTTTGGGGAGCAGTTTGAGTTTCAGGTGAAGGGGATGGGTGCTGCTGTGTTCCAGCCTGTGTTGTGCTCCCCGGTGCAGGTGGAGCGCCGGTACGAGAGCCGCCTGCAGGACCTGAAGGACCGGCTGGAGCAGTCGGAGAGCACCAACCGCAGCATGCAGAACTACGTCCAGTTCCTCAAGTCCTCCTACGACAGCGTCTTTGGAGAGAGCACCTTGCTGGGCTCTCCCCTCCGCTCTCGCTCCTCTCCCTGAGCTCAGCGGTCTCCTCACCTCTCTGCCACGAAGCACAAAAGCAGCTGCATCTCGAAGCCATATGTTGTTTAGAAAATCAGGTGGCGTTTCAGGGTCGCTGTCAGGAGACGTTCTCCTCTTCTCCTCACAGCATGAGATGATAAAATGATGGTGGTATGTGTCCTAAGTGTAGGGTATCAGCAATACTGGATGGGTGTTGGAAGCTGGTGTTACACCATAAACTGTCCCCCAAAACCCAGTGATTTTGCATACAATGGAAAAAGGTCTTTATCATCCTGTAAAGCTGAAGAAGTTTCAGCTCTTAAAACCTGTCAGTGGTTTTTGAGTATGTTAATGTTTATAAGAGCTTTTTTCCTATCCATGTTTCTTTTTTAAAAGGTCTTTTTCATCCTGTAAAGCTGAAGAAGTTTCAGCTCTTAAAACCTGTCAGTGGTTTTTGTTGAGTATGTTAATGTTTATAAGAGGTTTTTTCCTATCCATGCTTCTTTTTTCATTCTCTGTTGGGGAGATCATGTGGGGCTTTTTTTTGTGGTGGGTTTTTTAATATCTTTTTTTAAACTGTTGAACATTCTCTTGATACATAGGATGGTGGGCGAGGGTCCACCCACCAGAAGTGTGAAGCTGAAAATAATTTAAGTGCCTGGGCTCTACACTTACAAGAGATTATCTCCTGAACAGCCACAGTGTTCATAAGAAGTTTTATACCAGAAATTATGATTTTGTTGTTTTGTTTTGGTTTTTAACTTGATTCTTATATATTCTCTGATCCTCACCTTTTTTCTGAGTGTGATGCTAATATTGTTTTACTGCTCTTACCCTTATTTCCTGATCCTGAATATCCCCAGGACTGAGCCAAAACCATCTGGATTCAAAGGAAAGATTTTGAATTAACCTCAGTAGCACTTCAGTTGAGATCTTGGTGTGAATGCCTTGCGAGTTCAGGGTGTGCATGAAATAATGACTTAAGCCAATTAAAGAGCAGCTACAGATACTCAACTTCTTCATTCAGCTGCTGGGCACCTTCTCCTCCTAGAAAATCAGGACTTCAATGTGTTGAGTCCCTAAAACTCATGTGCTGTCGAGTGCCCTATTTTTTACCGTAAGTGGTTCTTACAGGGTTAAAAAAATAAACATTGTTTTTATTTTTATCTCTTTTGTATCCTATTTATGTGTGATGTGATCATTGGGCAGTATTTGTCATAAAGGTTTTCTAATTTAATAATTTTTTGAGAGTTTTGTAATTGTGTGTGTTTAACACTTCAAAATCCCTACCGGTGCTTTGGTAAAACAGAAATAAAGGGTGTGTTCCTTGGTTATGCTGGCTCTTTCCTCTCCGGGGGCCTGTGTCTGGGTTATTGCGGTGCTGTG